AGACGCAGGACTCGCGCACGCCAGGGACAGACGCAGGACTCGCGCACGCCAGGGACAGACGCAGGATACACCGGGGACAGACGCAGGACTCGTGCACGCCGGGGACAGACGCAGGACTCACGCATGTCAGGACAGACGCAGGACACACACATGCTGAGGACAGATGCAGGACACACACATGGTGGGGACAGATGCAGGACTTGTGTGTGCCAGGGACAGACACAGGACTCATGCGCTGGGGACAGATGCAGGACACACACATGCTGGGGACAGACGTAGGACTCACACTTGTTGGGTGCTGGGCAGCAGCTTCCAGTTGTAGCCTCACCCTCTGAGGCATCATCACGTCATCCTGAAGCAAAGAACACAGTTTAAATTCACATAAAGTAACTCCCACAAACAAGAAAGAAAAAGACATGGGCACCTGGGTGGCTCAGTCATTAAACGTCTGCCTTTGGCTCAGATCATGACCCCGGGGTCCTGGGATCGAGTCCCACATCGGGCTCCCTGTCCCACGGGAAGCCTGCTTCTTCCTCTCCCACTCCCCCTGCTTGTGTTCCCTCTCTCGCTGTGTCTCTCTCTGTCAAATAAATAAAATCTTTAAAAAAAGAAAAGAAAAGAAAAAGACACAACACCTAACAGTGAAATGGGCAAGAGATGGGAACAGGCAACAGAGATGCTACATACAGGCCCAGGAACCCCATGAGTCAGTGGGGAGATACTGGCAACCTCCACAAGGGCACACACTCTGGGCGTTATCCAGCAGTCTGAGGATACACACCCCTAAGACGCAGCAATTTTACCCACTGGGGAAAAGAGTCCTGCACGTGTGCATCAGAAGACATACAGAAATGCTCATGGCAGCAGCATTCAAACAGAACCAGCCGATGTCTGGGATGCCAGAATGGATAAATCGTCTAAGTCACTACAGTCAGTGCCAGTCACCAGTGAAACTAAGGCACAGCTACACCAACACAAATAACTCACAGACACGTGCTGGGTGAAAGATGCAAGACAAGAGAAGATACATAATACTGTACCATTTACTTAAAACTCAAAATCAAGCAAAATTAACCATATTATTTAAGAAATGTAGACATAATGCAAATTCTAGAGAAAAGCAAGAAAATTATATTTCTGAAGTTGGAATAATGGTCACTCTGCAAGGGGATGGAGGAGCAAGCGTCCCTCTGGGGTCCTGGCCACGTGGCAACTTCCTGACCAGGAGCTGCTCACGTATATATTTGCTTCCTAATCAATCCTCAAAGCACATGAATGTTTTGTGCATTTTTCTATAGGTATATTCTATTTTACAATAAAAAAGCATTTCAGTGTTTTGTTTCAGGGTGCAAATGTACCCAACGTAAGAACTAAAAGTACTGTCACTGGGAAGATACTATCTTTAAACTGAGCAATAAACTAAAAGGCCTGTACTTCTACTCATATTCCTGCAAAATGGCCTCATGAGCATTGTGCTTATCAAATCATCTGTGACCAATGGAGTTGGGGGGCCTGTGGCTGAGGCAGGGAAGGGGGAGGAGGAAGGGGGAGGAAGATGAGGGGAAGGAAAATGGGGGAGGGAGGGGGGGAGGAAGAAGGTGTGGGGGGGCAGGAGGAGGAGGAAGGACACAGGAGGTGCCGAAGGGCAGGGGTGGAGGGCAGGTCCTGCACCAGACGCAGCAGAGCCCCGAGCTGAGCAGGCAGGAGGATGGAGTAGGAGGAACCTGGGGTGAAAGACTTGTCAGAACAGGAGCGGAAAGGAAACCCTGAGCAAACTCGAGGCTTTTCCAATCCCTGAATCCCTCCCTGGCTGCAGCCAGGGGCACACTTACGGCAGCGTGCGGGGTCGACCAGGCTGGGAACCTTGAAAGGGACACAGGAGAACTGGGGAGCTGCAGCAGAACAGAGGGGCAGGCGAAGTTGAGGGGGCACAAGAGGTCACACCCCAGGTCAGCAAGACAGCAGGGCAGGGGACAAAGTGGCAATCTCCCTTAAAGGGAAGGTCTGCTGATCAAAGTCCTGAAAAATGGCTCCCGTGTCTGGTGGGAGAATTTTACAAATTTCTGACAATCTCCTAAACCAGTCTTTGACGCCTGTTATCGGGTTCCATGTGGGAACGGGTAAAAGCCAGCACACAATCATACGGGTATTTCAAAAAGGTCACAGGTTAGGGTTAGAGCTGGTCTCTGCCCCATGGCATGACCGCCCCTGGACCCTATGCAGGGCTGCAGAATGTGGCCTGGGGTTCAAGGCACAGCGCACCACCACAGAGGGAAGCACGGTTACCTGTGAACCCTGGTGAGCACCCAGAGATCTACACCCGTCTTCTGACCTCCCATCCCCACAACTCACCAGCGGCGCACGGGCCCCACAGCATGGGGAAGGGGCACCTTGTGTGCCTTTCTAGAACGTGGGCCAGCCCAGTCCTGTATTTGGTTGGCCCTCAGAAATACTTGCAGGGCAAATGAAATGTCCACTTCAGACTGAACAGGGTTTTCAATTACTCCACCATTTACAAAACACTCGCATATACTCTTTTTTTGGATATTTATCATGAGGAGCTAAAATTATCCCTGTTTTGTAGCCAAAGGAAACAAGGCTTGAAAAGGCTACGTCTTACCCCCAAGATCTCACAGCAATTACATACCAGCGTTAAAATTTGAATATGGGACTAATTGAGAAACCAACCTATGCTAACAGCAAAGCTGCCCAGAAATTCCCAGCTCTCAAGAACATTCCAGTGTAAGTTTCCACCACCTCCTGAAGTAGAATCACTCCCGGGCGTCTAATGTCAACCCCTGGGGTCCACAGAGTGTCCTGGAGGCAGCTGACACGCTCACTGACAGTAGCTGAGAAATTCAAGGAGGAACGCAACGAGCAAACACTGAAGCCAAAACCCAAACAGCACGACAGGTACACACTATCTGAGTGCACAGTGGCCCATGGGTCACAGAGAAGCCCCTTGTTCTCCGAGACCATCATGAGAGAAGAAAAACTGGCCAAAAAGATGGGAAGATGAAAAGGTCTTTATTACACATGAAAACCACACGGTATTTTAATAAGAAGCCCAAATGTGTGTCTGTCGGGGGTCGTGGTCCGCACCAACTTTCATGCTGGCGCTCGTCCTGGAAAGGGGGCAGCTTTGGTCCAGGTCCACAGGGCTCACAGCTGGTGCCAAACATCAGGAGCTGGTTTTAACAAAAGTCAGCTGGTATTTGAAATGCAAAGGAGAGGAGCCCAAGGGCTGGACATATAGTCCTGACCCCACGGAGCCCAGGAGGGAGGGCTCAGAAGCCTCCATACTTGTTTGCCTGAGAGCATGCAAGAGCCCCAGACCGGCTGGAATTCCACAGTGATACCCAGTTCAGAAACAATGATCTTGGGAGCCTAGAGCAAAGGATTTTGACGTTTTATAAAGATTACATTAATTCGGAATGAAATGCTGTTTCCTTTCTGACCACAAAAATAATGGGTAGGAAAAAACTCATCTAGTCAAAGAATTTTGTAGTTAAAAGAAACCTGGAGCTTCAAGTTAAGTAGCTTCTGAGTTTCTCTAGTGTTTCCCTTTTCTCTATTTCTATTTCTGAGTGAGAATTCTGAATGAGAATGGTCTGGGAAGAGCATGGCTGTGGGCTCCTGGGGACCACCACCATCAGGCAAAAGCTAGAGGCGGACAGAAGCCTGGGACATGCAGAGTATGGGATGGGCTGCCTGCAGATGAAAGTTACCCTCAGCCACAAGAAGATCTCCCTCTATGGCAGAATGAAAAGTCGATTTTGTTTCTTTTTTTGTCAAGTGTCCTTATGCTTGGCTTTCAGACACGTAGACTGGAAGACAGGCAAAAGTTACGTGGTCAGGTCTCCACACTCAGGACCCACATTCCAGGTTGAAAGCCTGCTTCCAAAGCACAGGGTCAAGGGACTTACATATGGTAGCTTCCTGTGTGTCTCTGCTCAAACTCCGAGTTACGGAAAAGTTTCCTGCTCACGGTTTGCTACATAGCTTCAGCATGCCAGGTCGTGACCCGAGTTCAGGTGCCTCCAAATTCCACCTGGCAGAAGTGACACACTAAACTCCTGCTCTGTTCAGCTAAGAGATGTATCAAATATTTTAAAAGTCTGCAACAGTAACGGAGAGTTAGGAGAAGCACTGGCAGGCACTGGGCTCAGATCCACGTGAAGGTATGAACCCAGAAAACACAAGCCACTTTTGCCCTGAAGGCCTCGCTGATCCTGGTTCTGAGAGGAGGGAAGTCAGAGACCAGGCTGCTCACAACTGGGGAGGGGGGCGGGTGCTGCTCAGGCCGAAGCCCTGACCTTCCCAGGGTGAGAGGGGTCTGAGGTGCACTGCCCTGGTGGTCCCAGGATGGCGGCTCTCCCAGGCACCCGGAAAAAGCAGGGAGAACCTCGGAGGAAGTGGACTCTTGTCTGAGGCCTCAAACTGCACAGGGAGTGTTCGGACACAGGAGCCGGTGCACAAGGGTAACTAGGCACGTGAGTAAAACATACGAAACAACACACTAGTAAGACTCCCAGAAAGCAACCATTAAGAAAATAATTCAAAAGAGTTAAAAATGAATAATCATAAGTAAGACCACAGAAAATATCTATTCAGTAAAAAAGGCTGAGGCAGCAGGGGAAGAATGGAGGAATGAATGAATGAATGAATGAATGCGTGAGATGGAAAATAAACAGGGAATGGCAGGCATGCACACTGTCAAGTAAAGAACAACAAATGTGATTAAACTCATTCTTTAACCAGAAGTAAAGACTGTCAGACTGCATTTTAAAAAACAAACACAGAAACAAAACAAGATCCACCCATATGCCATTTGCAAGAGACAGACTTCAGGCTCAAAGACAGAACGAGGGAACATGGGAGGATGGGAGACCCTCACGGGAGACAGAGAGGGCGGCAGCATGTGGACGGAAGTCCAACCCATCAGAAAGGGGACAGCTGTGAGCACAGCTGCACACCACAGCACCGGAGGAAGAAGCAGAAATGCACAGACCCGAAGGGAGAAATGGGTAAGAGCTGGGACTCGACGCTTACCATGCACACCGGACAGGACCGCGGCACGGGCGCCCGCAGAGAAGGGGGGCCACGCCATCGACCAGCGTTCAGCCCATGGCAGGGGCCACAGTGTTCAAAGTACTGAGATCACAGAATGTATGTTCTCTGACCACAACAAAATTAAGTCAGAAATCAAAAACAGGAGGACACTGTGGAAATCTACCCCCAACACGTGGAGGTGAACAAGGCACTTCCAGACAGACAGCGAGCAGAAGAAGAAACCATGATGTTTTCTGAGCTGAATGGAGGGGAAAGCGTGACACAGCGACACAGCTAAGG